TTTGCCACTTCATTGTTGCAGTGAGTTACAAAGGCGAACCCTTGTTGGCCCCCTCGGCTCGTTTGTTACAAATATGAACTTCAAATGTTAATCCGTGTTTTAATTATGTTAAAAGCGAATAAGCAACCTGGGACTGTTCTTTTACAATAACTGGTTTGAGCATAAGAAACAAATTATTATAAAAACTAATTGGGTTTGTAATTAACAATTGTCAATACCTCCGAAAATCATGGTGATTTGACTAATATGCTGCACACAAAACTACACCTAATCACATAAGGAGTCAATAAAAAAAGTATATTGTTCAAAAATTATAATTTTGGACTATTGTTTAATCAAAATGAAAAACAAAAATACTTTTTTAATGATAATATTTGACTAGTTTAGTGTATAACTAATGTTACGTAATGGGTCCGTCTGCACTCGCCGGTTTTGATGTCATTCAAACGTGTTTCACAAAAACTAAATAAATTTGATTTTTGAGTATAGTGTGAAAGGTTATAATCCCATGACTGTATTTATTAGCGTGAATGAGGGCGAGTACGTGAAATCCGCCAAACTACGTTTAGTCTAAGTTTGAATTCTTGGGTATGCATCAGTTAGAGCCTTTTCACCACATGTGGAGGGGAAAATGCAAGTTGAAATCAAGTCGCAGAAGTTCCATCAAACAGGCCGCAAAGCCTCTGACGAGAGAGCAAATTTTTTTCGTCCTTAGAAAAACATAAAGCCAACGAGGTGGTGAAAACTGGCAATAGCACTGGTAGCTAGCCGGCTTGAAAAAAAAATAAATAAAATAAAAGTTGCCAGCTAGCCAGAAAAGTTCGTGCGGATTCAAAATCTTTAATAATTGTCACTATTCAAATTAGTCCCTCCAGCTCAGTTATGTTCTTTTCATAAACTTACAAAAACAAAAAACAAAAATTCAAGTGATTTTCCAGCTGCTGGAATTTGTCAAACTCCCGATTGCGCATATCCATTGCTAGGAAAGGTTAAAGTCAGAGGCGAGGTCTGGAGAGCGTCATAGGACATCCAATTTCATTATCACCTCTGGCTGTATGAAGTCTCGTGATGTTGCGGTGAAAAAATACACCTCTCCTGCTCACGAGGGTTTCTGGGCCGATACTCGTTGCAGTTGGCTTGAGCAAATTTCTGCATTCAGGCCAACTGGCATCCACCACCTGGTTGGCTGGAACGGTTTAGGCATTGACACGGCGTTCATCACTGTAAGGTGAAGGTCCCGGGTTGGAATCCAGCGGCCCTGCATTCCAACCCGACATACTTACAAATAGGCTTTTTCAAAAACACCCACAACCTTGGGGGTTGATATAACTTCTGCTGTTCCTCGCAACCCCCATCCACCAATCGCAAAGCATATCTTTTTTTTTGGTGAATGGTTTCGCGCCAATGAGACAGGGTCATTCTGTGACTCCTGGTGTACAGGTTCCAATTTTCAACGCATGTGACAATCTGGTTAAAAAAATCTGCTTTGTGCCATGAAAACCATGAAAGGCGCTGAAGAACACTGGTCAATTCATGAGAAATTTGCTCAATTCTAAGTCTTTCCAAATCTATGTAAGGTAGAGCGAACAGTTACGTCACTTACGCTGAATACTCTAGTAACCTCCAGACATGTTCCTTCAATTTTTCACTGAACATGGCGCAAAGCCAAAACAAGCGTTTGAATAACAACAAAACTGACTCAGGGCCGGTTTAACATTAATACATACTTAGTTTAAAAACTGACTTGTTAATAACTGACGTTTTATCCACAAGGAAATTTTATACGTAATCAAAATATAACACCTTTTTAATTAAATCAATTAAAAATTAATGCAAACCAGAATAATAAAACTTTTTTTAAATCTTTTTTTTATTTACACCTGAGGCATTCGAAATCGTAAAACAAAACAAAATGAACACTAGTAATCCTATATACCACCACTTTCATTGTTATTCGTTGTCAGTTAGGAGATCGCGTGTCCATTGACGCTTCAGCCGTTGAGGTGGATTATTTGGAAGGGTGCGGGATGAAAGGTTTCTGACATGAGGGTTGGAGCGTACTTCTTGTAGCGAGATACTAAACTCATTGTGAATGGTAAGATTAGATACATAAAAAGGTGTATTGACGATGGTTCGAAGGATTTTTGATTCTAGGGAATGGACGTTGGAGGTTGGAACGTTTTGTTGAACCCCAAAATTCGATGCCGTATGCCCAAATGGTCCCCAAATAGTTACATAAAGCGGGGAACACACTTAGCCGACTCAACGCTATGCGACGCTACCCGATGGTACCCGACGCAAATCCATAGTCCAGTTATCCGTAAGATTGTATTACACTGTGCACATCTGCCCGATGCCACGCAACGCTACCCTACCACTATGCTGTTCAGATTTTCGTCGGGTAGCATCGAGTACAGTCGAAGCCGAAAGAACCGGACTCTCACATGTTTATTCAAACTACATGTAATATTGTCGTTCTATTAATTACAACATACTTATTGTAATATAAACCAAATTAACCGAGATCAAAAATCCCTTAGTTTTTATTTAAAAAATATAATTTTAATGGTTTGGCAGAAAATTGATCAAAACACCGGAAAACCATTTATTGACAGAATGAATGTAACTAACAACTTATTGCCAAGTTTTGCTCAAAAATTTATTACACGATTTTGTTCAAAAAATTTAACTAACAATTTATTTCATGGTTTTGCTCATAAAATTTAACTAACAATTTATTATACGGTTTTGCTCATAAAATTGAACTTATTTATTACACGGTTTTGTTCATAAAATTTAACTAACAATTTATTACACACTTTTGCTCATAAAATTGAACTAACAACTTGTCACATGGTTTTGCTCATAAAATTTAACTAACAATTTATTACAGGGTTTTGCTCATAAAACTTAACTAACAATTTATTATACGGTTTTGCTCATAAAATTGAACTAATTTATTACACGGTTTTGTTCATAAAATTTAACTAACAATTTATTACACACTTTTGCTCATAAAATTGAACTAACAACTTGTCACATGGTTTTGCTCATAAAATTGAACTAACAACTTGTCACATTAACTAACAATTTATGACACGTTTTTGCTCATAAAATTTAACTAACAATTTATTACACGTTTTGCTCATAAAATTACATCATTTTCGTCGAGTAGCGTCAAAACCGGACACTCATATTTGTTGTAGTTTATGTCGAACTATGTATATGTAATTTTGTCATTATTTTAATTACAACATGTTTATTTTAATGTAAACCAAATTAAACGAGATCAAAAGTTCATGAGTTTTTATAAAAAGTATTTATTTGTGATTGTTAGGCAGAATAAAACAATTAAATTTAACTAACAATTTGTTACGTGGTTTTGCTCAAAATACTGCATTAAAAACAAAAGAGAAGTTGCGATTGTGATACCGATTTGTGATACACGCCGGGTGACTGTACGTGGCGTGCGCTTGACGTCGCATAGATGTGCACACGCTACCAAAACGAGACGAGGCGTCGGGTAGCGTTGCATCGGGTAAATGTGTTCCCCGCTTAAATGAGTCGTTTATTTTGTAAAGTCAATTTTGGCTGTTTATCCAGCAATATTTTGGGAAGACTGAATCGTCCCCTAGCCACGAGGTAGACTACATTACCTGGTGAGAGAGGAATATATTATATGGGAACAGTAGTTATTCACCGAAGGGTGAAAGTGACATGGTCACATTTTTGTATGCTTATTGTCGTCTTCCACTCCTTCAACCACTCCTCAAGGGACCTGACATGGCTTTGTAGGTTTAGGGTTGAAATGACAAGGTCTTTATGGGATCAAAGGATGGCGGTATCATCCCCATGGCTAGTAAGGATCGTTTCTAGAAGAGTAGGAATGCCTTCGGTATATACCGGTAGAGGATGGGTCCTAAGATACTTCATTACAATAAAATATAAAATTTTAAACTGTTACATGTTAACTTTTCTGATCATTCTGTATTTAACTATTTTCTAAGCCACAAGTTATATTGATCTTCCATTAGCACACATTGCGGCCAAACTTTTTTCTACGGGAGAAAAAGTCCTGAAGCTTCAGATATTATTATTCAAAACGTTATTATTCTTGAAAGAATGGGATCCGATTAAACACAAAATAAACCTTCTTTCGTTGAGTGATTACTTTTCTATATCATTTTTTTTTTATTTACAAAAAACCCTTATAGATACCCCCTTTCCATACAAAACCCATTATAGATATTGTATGGCTGTACATTCCCGATACGTCCAAATAAATGTAAATGCGCAATTTATTTAATTTTTTATTAAAAAAACACCTCATGGAAAAGTTTCCTACCACATAACAAAAAAACGATAGTTTAATCTTAAAACTCCCATGCTTACAATAAAACAACATTAAAAAGTTATTAGTTATAGTATTAGTAAATCATTTTTAAATTTATCCACATGTTTTAGCTAACCAGAAAATTGTGTAAATTGGTTTATAAGGTTTTATGTAAAGGGAAGTTGAGTTTTAAACAATAGGGTCACCAGCGGGACTCATACCCATCCCACCCAGAGGTCTGTGTTCGAGTCCCGCTGTGACACTAATTTTTCATTTCAATCACACAAAAAAATTATTCATAAATAATTATAAAACATTTTAAATAATTTTTTCAATTGTTTAATTTGAAATTAACTATATCAAGGACAAGTGTGTTTTGAAAAATAAAACTATAAAATATACCAATAAAAAACAATAAACAGTTTTATCACAGTTAATCTTTCATATATAATCAATGTAGAGCATTGACATATATATTCATTAGAACGCATAAAGATTATTTATATATGTAGGTATAAATAATAAAACTTTTACGCTGTATGTCAATTTTTTTTAATTCATAGGTTATTTGTTTGACTTTGTTAAGCTGAACAGACTTTTTCTTTGAGAGGGAAGGGTGAATAAGCTTCATACGTATTTCTTTGAAAATTACATTAAAACAACTTACTTATTGTATAATACTATATCTGGACGCCAGATGTGATCTGAAGGCACATGAAGCATTTGAACTCCGCCGTACTCTTTTGGTTCCCACCTCAATTTGTAGTCGTACCACGACTGGAAAAAAATTAAGAATTATTTAAGCGTATTTTTTGACAAGAGAAAGACTTATCTTGTAGGGAAAAAAATTGAACAGTTAATGTTTTTGTTTTGTTTAAACAAACAGGGTATTATGAGGAAGGGGAGGTATTCTTTTTAAAGCCAATATTAAAAGAGTTCTTCTTTCTTCTGCCTTCGAGCCTTATTCAGGACACAGAGAAGGACATGCTTACCCGTTTTCCTTTGATCTGGAAAAACGAGACGGCCTGTAGTGGAGGATTTGTAATATGGAAACACCTTTGTGAATAGAATTTATTCCTAAATCTTTTAAAAGCTTCCTTCAAGCCAGCCCTGTTTCTTGCCGCGTATAAAAGAACAAACATTGCAAATTACTAAACTTTACCACAAAATGGTTTTGTGTTTCGGGTAGTTTCTTGCTTTTGTTCTACCAAATGAAAGGCATATTGATTAAAAGCTATGTGGGCAAAACAAGTGGCATATACTTTCAAACAGGCTTAGCGACAACTATCACGATAAAGAAAATGTTTACTTTTTTATATAAAAAATAAGCTTTTATGTTAGTTTAATTATTACATTATATAACAAAACGACTGTGAGCAATTAGCTTTGCCTTCATTTTCACTCAGTTTTCTTTTTTTTTATTACATTTATTTCTTACAACCACAAGTATTGTACAATATTAAGAAAATATATTCATATATGTTGAATTTATCATTTGAGGCTCTTCTGGAGAACTTGTCCAGTGGCAACACTCCTTTAACACAGAATAAACCAGTCAAAAATTTGTTGTAACAAATAAATTATTGTTTGTTACGTTGTTCAGTTATTTTAGGTTAAGTAGCACTCTGTGATTTTTATGGTAAAACCAGATTTTATATAGATTTAAAAAAAGGTTCGTTTTACAAAATATGACAATATACATAAAATGACAGCATAAATGAAACTGTAAACATAATAATTTAATTCCCTAATTTCGTGGTCCCCTTGGCCAATTAATATATTACAGTTAATTAAGGTTTTTAGTTGAGATGAAAAAGTCAATGGCACGAGCGGGATTCGAACCCACGATCTTCGGCTAGATACGCCGCTGCTCTACCACTTGAGCTATCGTGACCTCGATCCACTAAGACACCAACTTCCCATCTCAACCCCACCTTTTGAATTTTGAAAAATGGCAAAAGGGAGGGAAAATTCAAAAGGTGGGGTTGAGATGGGAAGTTGGTGTCCGAGTGGATCGAGGTCACGATAGCTCAAGTGGTAGAGCAGCGGCGTATCTAGCCGAAGATCGTGGGTTCGAATACCGCTCGTGCCATTGACTTTTTTATCTCAACTAGAAACCTTAATTAATTGTAATAATAATTTAATTTTTTGAGAGTTCGAGTTAGAGTTTTGATGTATTCAAGTATTTCAACTAGATTTCAGATACCTATCGCTCTAGAAATTGTTCCAAATATGTAAAAAAATTTGTATTATTCATGTGTCCAAAGAAGATTTTATTTTTACTTTCCTATTTCCATTAATTGATTTTTTCTTATTGCCAGCTCAGTGTCATTCTTTTTAATTAAAGAAAAAAGTATTTATTTGGTATTGTTCATTTTAATTTAAAATTTAATTTTAAAAAAGGTATTTATTCAGTATAATTCATTTTAATTCAAGAAAAAGTATTTATTTTGTATAATTCATTTTTAGTTTAAAAAAGGTATTTATTTTGTATTATTCACTTTAATTTTCGAAAATAAAAAAAGGTATTTATTTTGTATTTTTGCTGTGGCTTATGTTTTATTTCTTCTAATTAATTCTGAAACAACTATCCTGATCCGACCACTCTAATTATAAGACTAAAGCGGGGAACACACCCGATGCAACGCTTTGCGAAGCTACCCGATGCTACGCTACGCAAATCCAATTTACCATTATCCACAAGATTATATTACCCCTGTGCACATCTACCCGATGCCACGCAACGCTACCCTACTCTACGCTACGTTACGCGATCCCCACTGTCCAGATTTTCGTCGGTTAGGATCGATCAGAGTCGATGAACCGACACTCATATTTTTATTCAAACTACATTTACTATTGTCGTTATACTAATTATAACATACTTATTTTGATATAAACAAAATTAACCGAGATCAAAAATTCATTAGTTTTTTTTTTTATTAATTTCAATGGTTTGGTAGACAATTGAGCAAAATACCGCAATACCATTTTTTTAACGAATTTAACTAACAATTTATTACACGGTTTTGCTAAGAAAATTACACCATTTTCGTCGAGTAGCGTCAGAACAGGACACTTATTTTTTGTAGTTTATTTCAAACTAAGTATATGTAATATTGTCGTTACAACATAACATAATTACATAATTAATTGTCTTGTGGTTATATTAATTACATCATTCTTATTTTAATATAAACCAAATTAAACGAGATTAAAAATTCATTAGTTTTTATAAAAATTATTTAATTGTGATCGTTAAGCAGAAAATTTATCGAAACACCAGAATAACTTTATTTATTACAATTCAAGTTAACTAACAATTTATTACAAGGTTTTGCTCAAAATAATGCATTTAAAACAAAAGAGGCGTTGCGATTGTGATAGTGATTATGTGATTCACGCTGTGTGACTGTACACCTTACCAAAACGTGACGCATAGCGTTGCATCGGGTAAGTGTGTTCCCCGTTTAAATCTTCCAATCTTACAGGCAAAAAGGTCCTTCTCTTACAATTTAAATTAAATTCTAATACAAGTTAAGCTTTTCTGAGAACTAGGGTTCATTTCTTGATTCCATTAGTGGTAGAAAAATTTCCGCTTCCGGGAAATTGTGGGGCATCTTCTTCAAATCTGGGTGCGCCCACAATCGCTTCAGTTGATAAAGGAATTGGTTATTTTCGAAAGATCCTCCTATGCTGTGGAGATAACCGGCTCGAAGCACATCGTCACACTTGTCTCGGCTCGTCTTCTGTCCCGACTCAGTCACCCACACTAATTCTAATCCTATCCTGGGCCGAATTAATTGGAGATTGACACACCGCTAACTTGAGTTCAGTGAGCACTATAATTTAACAGGCAAACCCGGTTAAATAATAATGTATACACACGAACATAACAATCTTCAATTCTCTCATTCCAAGAAGCAAACTTTTTGACCGACTTTTGTAGTGCGCTCAATTGTTTCATCTTTAAACCCTGCCCTAGTATCAAACTAAAATTCGTACCAAAAATGGCACGACTTAAGAGTTTTGAATCCATGAGAAAGAAAATATTTCCTAATTTACAGAGAACTGTTCAAGTCACTAAGTTTATTCACCATTAAATTCACTAATTTCGTGGTCTGCTTGACCAATTAATATATTATAATTAATTAAGGTTTTTAGTTGATAAAAAAACTCAATGGCACGAGCGGGATTAGAACCCACGATCTTCGGCTTGATACGCCGCTGCCCTACCACTTGAGCTATCGTGACCTCGATCCACTCGGACACCAACTTCCCATTTCAACCCCACCTTTTGAATTTTCCCTCCTTTTTTGCCATTTTTCAATTGTAGTGTAATCGGATTAGATTCTCGACGACAAATGAAATGGCCACGGAGAGATTTGTCGCCGAGAATCCAATCCGATTACACGACATTTCGACGCCATTGACTTTTTTATCTCAACTAAAAATTTTAATTAATTATAAGTTATTCACCCTGTTTATAACATGTTAACTCGTGTTAACTCGATTAGAGAAATGTTCAGTAAAATCGTGAATGCCCCCTTCTTTTCTAAGCATCTTAAACGTTAATTTTTTCGCAATGGTGCGGGTGGGGATTGGTAGAACCAAAAATAAATCTATTATAGTCCTTGAAGGCTTGTTGTTGTTTATTTTGGTTTTCATTTGTGTTAAATTGTAAGACGCCAGAAGTTAATGGAAAATTGACCAAACCTTTCATTCAAAATGCTATCTATGTGAAAAGTACTAACTTGTATCCTAACCTCTAACAGCCTACTTTATAGAATAGTATGTATTTAGTAGATATGCCTATTATGAATGGGAGTTTAAGGACAGGTCAGAAATTAACAACAGAAATGTATTGGTCTGATTTAATTAATGAATATTTAAGAATAAAAATACGTGTAAACAAAAAACAGCTGTTAAATGCATGGCTGCCATGTTGGTTACCTACGCCCTAACGGATAGCAACGTGACTACATTTTCAACCTAACATCCAACATTGGCCCTGGCCTGTTGGATCGAGCAATGTTAATTAGTCGATTCTTACAAGTCTACGACATCATTTTTCTCAATATAACAGGACGTAACAGAGTTAACAGGGTTAACACAAAGATCGCGAAAACCGTTAATTTTTCTTTATGAACTGAAACATTATTCTATTCGTATTACATGATGTAAACAATTAGTCCTCCTATGCAATTAAAAATGTTGATAAACGTTATGAAAACAATTGAAAAAGGCAACAAGGAGAGAAAATTCAAAAGGTGGGGTTGAAATGGGAAGTTAGTGTCCGAGTGGATCCAGGTCACGATAGCTCAAGTGGTAGAGCAGCGGCGTATCAAGCCGAAGATCGTGGGTTCCAATCCCGCTCGTGCCATTGACTTTTTTATCTCATCTAAAAACCTTAATTAATTTTAATATATTAATTGGTCAAGCGACCACGAAATTAGTGAATTTAATGAATTTAAATGAAGTATACTTCACTAAAGCTCTCCGTGGACATTTCATTTGTCGCCGAGAATCCAATCCGATTGTAATTAATTGTGATATATTAATTGGTCAAGCGGACCACGAAATTAGTGAAGTTATGAAAACATTCACAAATGAAAAAACACATGGACTTTTCTGGTTACCTAGTAGTTCCTTTTTTAAATACACTCGACTATTAATTTATATACCACCACATATTTTTAACATAGCAATATCTTTAAAACCAACAATAAATATAATACTGTTTTTAACGATTTCTTAGCATTCCGTTTTACTTTATA